TATATATATATATATATATATTAATAAAATTTGTTTTTGACAATAAAATACTACATTCAAAATATTAAGAAAATCACCAAAATACTTAATGTAAATGACATCCATAACATAATGAAGTTAATTAAAGTAACACAATTATCACTAATTAGAGTTAATGCATTCATCAGAAAAGTCGCATTAATGTTAGTTCAAAATGTTAAAAAAACACCAAAATACATAATGTCAATGTCATCCATAATATAATGAAGCAAAATACGCTAACACAATTATCACTAGTTAGAGTTAATGCACTCAGCAGTAGAATCACTACTTTAATAAACCACAAAACAAACATGTAATCATAAAAAAAGTTATAGTAATTAAAGTTATTTTTGACAATATAATAATACATTTAAAATTTAAAAAAAAATCACCAAATACTTACCGCCAATGTCATCCATAATATAAAAAAGCAAAATATAATAACAAAATTATCACTAATTAAAGTTAATGCATTCAAGAGTTGGGTCATCGTTAGTGATAACTTCATTGCCCTCTTCAATAATGCATTCACCCTCATCAAGAAAAAATGTCATTTTGAAATATGACTCATCAAGAGAAAGACTAGTAACTTCAAGTATTTAAATATCATCCATTATAGCTAACGTATCTCTACCAACATTTAATTATTTCCTCTCCCCCTAAGAATATTATGGGCTTCTTCTAGATAGAAGGTTGAGACAAATATCAAATATTTACCTTTCTAAGGAGTGAACTTATTTCTCTTAAGTGAATTAATAAAAGAACAGATAATATATTGAATCTCAATCAATGCTTCTGCAACTCTGCACAAATGCATTATCAATGATTGTTTAAACCACTTCATTTGAACCTATCTCCACAACTATTTTAATTTCATTAGCAATGTATAACTAGTTCTTACACACCCCTTCGTAGTTAATGAATTTTATAAACAATACCAAGAATCTGCGATGAGGATGAAGTTAATAAAAACATCATTGCACATCTCTCGAGCTATCACAAACTAGATAATTATTATTTTTTTATTCCAAGTCCCTTTTATGAGCTCAAACATTCTTTCAGCATGTGCTCTCTTTTAAAGTAAAATAATTTTTAACAGATTAGGAACATATATGGTGATTTTGTTGTTGGTTGGATATAAAAAATCACTATAATAATATGATTTTTTGTCAAATGAAATGAAAAAAATTATTGAATAAAACATTCAACCAATTTTTTATGTAAAAGATCTCTAGCATGTAAGTTGAATGTTTTTTCAATAGTACTATTAGTTGGCATTTTCTTTTCTTTAGATCATAACCATCTACTCTAAATAAATGTTCGCTCAATTGAAAACACATTGACTAGAAGAAGAAAGTGGAACATTTTTAAATACAATATTCTTCTTTTTTCTAATTTGCGTCAACATCTGAATTATGCACTTCATAAATTTGTGTGCAAACTATTTTAGAACATGTCTGAATGCCTATTCCAAGTTATTGAAGCAAGTGGACTCTGACCCTAAAATGTGTTCCTATAAATTTTTAATAACAAAACTAATATTAAAATTATATATTACCTCATACTTAGATTAATCCAATTTTCTCTAATTTGGTTATATATTTCCATAAAAATTTTATCTCATCCTCTATAAGATTGTTACCAATCAAATTACACACTTAAAAGTCATTATCGTACCAATCAATTAAAGAAATTATTAACATAGAAAATTTAAACATTTTCATATGATCATAAATATTCATCTAACAATAAAAGACAAACAAGAAAAACATAAACTACCCTATGTCTAATTCAACTTGACAATTTAAAGATAACAATATAAGATTTCAAAAAATCTCAATCATGCATATCAAGATTTCAAGCAATTGTAATGAGTATACAAACGACTTAAAATGGGTTGGAAAGAATATTTTATTTAATAAAACAAATAAATCACGAGTGTATAAAGAACTTAAAATTATTTTAAGAAATTGCTTGAAATTGAAATACAAAAGAAAAATAGTATCTATACATTTGCCAAAATGGACTCAATTGGATAATGGAAAGGGCTCATTTTGGACAATGGGAAGGCTGGGAAGGAACGAATGCCACTCACAATGAACGGCTTGCTTCGATGATGGTCGTTGGGGCTCAAATTTGACCAAGGTTTGCTCGCACCAAAAGTAAGAACAATTCACGGACTTGGTGATGTCAATGATTGCTCGAAAGTGAAACGAGAATGCTTAGATGAGGGTTGCAACTTCAATTTTGATATGTAGCTTCAGCTTCAACTTTGCTTTCGACCTATGGTTAAGATGAAGGCAAAGAGGTGTTTGCAATTTAGGACCTGTGTCCCACTTGATTTTGTGTCAAGTTGTGTGTCCCAAGCCATGTCAAACATAAAGGAAAACTTCGACGTGATTTATACCGTGTTGGACACGTGACGAAGTTGTGTCTCTATCCATGTCAAACACAGGTACGACAAATGTTTGGTCGTGTTGGTGCTTTGTAGATTCCCACCTATGCCTCTTGTTTCCTCTAAAATATTGCTCTCAAATTTTCCTACATTTGATAGCAAAAATCATGTGAAACTTTCTTGCATTGTGTAATATTTTCCTTAACTCATTAAGGTGTTCTTTATTTCTATTTATACACCTGCTTATGTTACACTACAATGCAAACAATTAAATTACTTATATCATAAGAGCTTCTACATTCACTAAAGTAATTCCACATTAGATCCATCTTTCCATAAGCACTATAGAATAATGTGATTTACATCAAATTAGTCCATCCTAATTCCTATAAAAGTTTGGATCCCATGTGGAATTACTTCAATGAACGTGGCAGAAAAGGTTGATTATTTAAATTTTTAGGTGCTTAATTTTAAAATTATAGAAGATATTTTTACAAGTGATTTATATTTATTAATTTATTTCTCTTAGGCTGCACATATTGCATCATTATTAATCATTTTTTAGATATATTTAAATCATTTTAATATTTATCAAATCATTCGATTCAAATCCTATTTCAACTCAGATTCAACATTCGAATCTTGAATCTCCTCTTCCTAGGTTGAATATCCAGATTGGTTTCCAAAGCCTTGCTAAACTCAGCATCAATCAAGTACTTCATGTTAACTTAAACAAACAAAGATGTAAAGTTTTAATAGCCCTCAACTATTAGCATTCGTTAATCAGAATAGAATTATGTGATGGTTGTGGATAAACATTTCTGCACTTGTTGTTAATCAATAACAAAATATACTATTATGTCAACATGTATGTATTAGGTAGCATTTTAACATATGCATACAAACATCGAAGATATCTTATTGGTTGGATAGTGGATACATGTAAGACTCGTGCGTAAGCAATTTTTTGCTAGTTAATAGTACACAGAGTTAGTATGTGAGCAGGTGTGAATTTGCTAAAATGTATACTGAGGCACATTGCTTCTAGTTCCTTCTCTTGCATAGCAAGCCAAAAGGTCTTTTCCCTTTCCTAGATTTCAGTTCATCATTTGACAAATAGTTTACCGAGATGGAAATGTGTGAAAACGATCACCGTGAAGCTGCCAGATGGAAGCAAGTACTAGATTTAACTTTAGAAGCACGTACAGGATACAATTCAAAGAACCATAGAAAGAGATTACCAAATGATAAAATCAACAAATAAGTAATTTGACAAAAAAATCAACCTAATTTTTATGTCATACAATCCCAATGAAAGGACTTTCACCTCGTCTAGGTCGGGGAGCTTTCTAACGACATATACACACTAGAAAACTTCTTATATAGAAAGATATGTTGGGTCAGTTGGGTTGGAGAAGCACAAGGTGTTTCTCCTCGAGACAGGCAAATAATGCAGTTATTTAGAGCGGTCCATAAATATTGTGAAGGTCCTATTAATTATGATTTGGGTGAGAGCTATGCCATGAAACATGTTTACAATCCTGCCATACAGAAAAGTAAAAGTAGGTTTTTGAAAGTCCTAAATCTTTTAATCTTAAATTTTAATTCATCTTAAAATTTTTATTAGGATTTTTGTAGAAAAAAATAAAACTTTAATGTCCTAAGAGCCTGAGTTGTAATTTTTGTAGCATCCCAAATATAACCAGAAAGAAACAGGGTAACAACACAAGCATGCAATAATTCAGGAAAAACAGTAGAACAAGCCAAGTAAAATAATGAAAAAGTTGGTTCACTAAAATACACCTAGGCTCAACCGACAATGACGAAAACAAAACCCTAGATGAATGCCAGGTTTACAAGTAATAAGCAATGAAGCAACGATATGTAGAAAGAGTGATAAACCCTAAAATACCTTCACCAGGAGATTCCGGGTGCTTGTCCCTCTTAAGGGCGCTCTTGAGGGCAGGAGGCCGTATGGAGGGAATGGGAATCGGAGACGAGTATCGTCTCTCAGAGATCGAAGGTAGCACTTGCTCCACCACCGCCTCATGTGTTGCCGAAGGAGGAGGAAGTCCATGGAAGATGTCATCGGCCATTGATCGCCTCCCAGTGGAGAGACCTCCTCCAGCCTCTTGCTTGATGAACCAGCACTCTGTGAGTTCGGATAATGGCGATGCCTCTCCCTCATCCTATAATTTCTACAAATGGAAGTAGATACATTTTACTTTTTCACGCCCTGTTTACTTCTATAACTCATTTATATTTATTTTATGGAGCATTTACAAACATTCCCCACAAGTTTTGGGTATTTACATATTCAACACCCAAATTTTGGTATTTTCAACATTTAAATACAACTGAAAACTTTTATTTTTCCAAGAAATGACGCAAAATAGCTTTTTTTTTTGTTTTAAAATATATATTTGCAGATATTACGATTTAAACCTTTAGAATAATATTAAATAGATAATATGTACAAAAATATGTCTATACATGAAAGTTCATTTAAGATTAAATTAACATTGTTTTCATAGAAGTATAATTTGGAGGTGTAAATGAGCCGAGCTTGAGCGAGCTCAAGTCCTATTCTTATTTAGCTCGTTTATTTTTTATTTTTTCGTTCGTTTCAGCTCGTGTTCTTGAAATAGCTCGTACAAAGCTTATTTATGTTGAGCTTAATTCAAATGAATTTGTTCGAATTAAGCTCGTACTCAACTCAACTTGAATTAAATTTGCTTGATTTTATTAGACTAAAAAATATATTAATTGTTTATTATTATTAAATTTAAAAAAAAAATTTACTAAACCTAATTTAAAATTTGGATATAGTTTTTCATTTGTCACTACATTGAAGAGCTCATCCGCTTTTGTAATGCTTTTCTCATAATAATATTTTTCCTTCCGGGACAAAAAAAATGCTTGAATTATTGCTTACTCGGAAAAACTCGGAGTTTTTGGAGAATTTAATAATCTGGTTTCGAGTCGAGCTGAGGTTGGCTCAATAAAAATTTAATCTAAAATTTTTGGCTCATAGCTCGACTCGTTTATTTCGATCTAATCTTAATCAAGCCAAAATTCGAATCAATTTTTGAGAGATGAACAATCTTCGAGCTAAATTTGCTAAATTTACATCTTTAACATCACTAGAATTGTTAACGATCTGATTTCATGCCAAGCTGGGGTCGAGTCGATATAGGCTAAAAAAAATTCGATCCAAAATTTTGCATAGTAGCTTGACTTATTTGTTTGATCTGAGCCAAAATTCAAATTATTTTTCGAGCAACGATCTTTGAAATTCAAAACCCAATCCAATGTATTTATATTGCTAACACTTAGGGTATGTTTGGAGCAACTTGTGTGTTTCAGGATAAGTAGTTTATCCTAAAACACGGCCCGCGGGAGTCGACCTGTGGCCTACGTTTAGTGTAAGAAACTCAAATGTGACAGACAGTGTTTTAAAAAACGTGCAAACCAAACGATTAGACGGTGTTTTTAAAAATGTCGCCGCATTTGTAAGGTGTCACAAAAGGGCCCTTAAATTAGAGTGAAGAGTTGGGACATAAATTTTTTAGCCTTTTTACGTACATACCAGTAAAATCTTATGTAGTTACATAATTGACTTCAATATTATTTTTATAATTATCTCATCTATACAATTTGTTTGTAAAGCAATAAAACCTAGTATTTTCTAAATACAATATAAAAATTTATATAAATAAATATATATTAAATATTATTATTGTTTATATATTTAATTATTTTTAGTCAAACACGAAAGAATAATTTTTTGTTATTTTTCTGCTTATTTATAAATCAAGCTCAAAAATTTTGTTCATATTGCGCTTGCTTGCTTAACAAAAGAAACAAACATGAACTGCACGATGAGTCGTGCATAACTTATTCTTAAACGACGAGCGTTTTTAACAACCCTAATATGATGCAAAACGTCGCTCAAAAAGAAATTGCTCTAATATTCACTTTCCCCTACCTTCTCAATCTCTAAAAATCGCTTATTAATTTAGAGATGATTTAAAGAGTAATTGAAAAAAGTTCAAACAAGATCATAATGAAATTGGAAAGACTTGAACCTTATCAAAATAAAATTGGAATGAAGTTGTACAATGCTTCAAATATTATTTAATTATATTAAAATATGATTCAAAATATCTTATTCATATGTCATCAATAAATTTTATATATTTGACATGAATCGAATCTCATAGCATTTTTTTTAGCAAGAAACATTCAAATTCAAATTTGTAGAACTCCAATTTTAGCAAACTCATAATCAAACTGACCGACTGGACCAAAAGAATGCAGTGAAACCAAAATTATTCTAGATTGAGTTAAATAAAGCCTGGATCAAACCATTAAATCTTTTTTGGAAGCTTTTGATAGCTAATCGAAAGATCAAATAGATTCGAAATCTGACAAGTTTATAGTCGAATTGAGTGTCTCGATGTATTAGCTAAAGAGTTACTTATAGCTACTCAACTATTCATTCTATTTGAGACTCGGGTGAGAAAGAAGATAGAGGAGCAGTTATAGTAGATGCTATAAAAGATAAAAACGTTACCAATCCCTTGCAATAGTATGTACATACAAAGAGATAGATAAAGGTACAAAAGATATTTGCTCATATCTTGCAACTATGTATTGAAATTATTGAAAAAGAATTCAATATAATTAGAAAACTTCATACAAAGTATCTAGACGTTGAAAGACAATATTAAAATTATAGTGAGAAATATAATACAATTATATGGTCAAAAAGCATATGCCATAAATGGACTAACAAAATAATTATATTGTTATTAGCCATATAATTGTTGTGTTCAATCGCTAAAGTTTCTTCCAATCCTAAAACCTATACTTTGAAGTAAGAAAAGTATTTTTCATCTAAAGGGTGGAATGGATTTATGGTACATAAATTTATTGTTTAGTGCTTCTCACCTTATAAATCTGTAAATTTTCAAATCAATTCTTTTATATTTTATATTTTTTATAATTAATAATCACCTAACGCCGCACAAAAATGGTTAAAAATTGTTAGAAAGATCGACAGATTTTATGCGTCGGGATTTAGGTATGAATTTTCTGAAGGCTTTCCGACGCATACACTAACATATGGTTCAGCCACAGAGTAAACGATCAGTTTTTAGGAAAACCTAATTCTGACGACCTTGGTTCTTGTCATGTGATAAAATGACAGTGTGTTCGCATTAGAAAATTTACACATCATTTTCTCCGTCTTCAAAATCCAGAAGGCATTTTATATTATCTGACAGAGCGTCGGTCAGTTATTAAGTTATTAGAAACTGACAATGTGATGTTGTTGGAAAGCCGGCATATAGGCTCTAATAAACTGGACCGAAGTTTTTTTTTTTTTCATTTCATTTTTTTATACGCAGTGCTCGACCTTTGACCTTGGTGCCCCCACACGTGATTTCCCCCGCATTTTCAGTATGGTAATCCACTTCATGCATTATTTGATTTAAATTGAAAGTGAATTTGAATTGCATCGTCCTCTAAATTTTCATTAATTGCAACTATTACTTTTTTTTGCATTCTAGTTTTTTGTGTTTTAGGGAAAAATAAGTTTTTTGTTTTCATGTTTATATTGATTTATATTTACACACGTAACAATTAATTCTTACTTGTTTCCTGTTTATTGCGTGCTTTTATATATTAGCTTTAGTAGTTGTAGACTTCACTTACAATTTCTCTTTCTGCCTATTACGTAGTTTTAAGTTTTCAATTTCAGTAGCATGTTTATTGCACTTTACAGGTTTTTCTTACGTTTGATATGCATATATCATCCCTTTCAATGAATGGTATGAGTGCTCTCTCAAAATTTATATTTTTAAAACTATTGTCTTTCTAAATAATTATAAAAAAATTTAATATATCTAATTGAAAGCTTTGAATATATTTAATAACTCCAAATAGTATGTTATTATGTCCAATGAGAGCATCTTCTCATTATTCATCATTTTATGAGTATTTGATGCATTAAGGCTCCGAGAAATTATAGCTTGAAAGCTTTGAAGATCTCCCTAGAGTGAAATCTTTTAGTAATAGATTAAAAGTTTGAAATTATCTAACAATTTAATTCATCTCACCCTCTATTTTTATGTAACTTGAGCATTATAATGACCCTCTATAGACATAAATAGAATGAAGGACTTTATTTAGTCCATCTCACCCTCTACTTTATGTAACTCGAGCAGTATAATGACCCTCTATAGACATAACTAGAATGAAGGACTTTATAAATAGTAAAATATCCCAAATGAATTGATTTCATAAAAGAAAAATGAGGAGAAATAATAGATTTGAATTTGAATTGTGTAATAGATTCTTTCTTTATTAGCAATATAGAGTTTGTTACACGGCTGCAAATCTTATTGATGTGAAGAGAGCTGAGCGGATCTCAATTCATATTGTTTTATTATTATCTCTATGTTTTGTGTTAACATATCATTCACCATTCAACTTTTGTTTTCAGTTCATTTGAATCATATTTGTTTTTGTCATCATTTTTTTTTTTTTTTGTCTTTTAAGATGCATTCAAGTTATCTATGTTCTTGCAGGTTTCTTTATTGGTTGGCGGTTTTTTTTGGTATTTTTTAGACCATATATGATATTTATTCTAGCAAATCTTTTTTTTTTATTATTTTACTTTTTGATCTTGTTAAATTTAATGTGTCTTTCAATAGATTGATTTTAGCTGTTATCATGCATACAATGTTCGGCATCATTTTTTTTTATTTTTGGTTTCAGCTTCATGTTTTCGTGCCTACTCTCATTCAGCCCTAATGCCTCCTTCATGGGAATATATGCATGTGTGTGTGTTGGCTTCATCCTTAGTTTAGCAAGCACTTCTAAATTATATATATATATATATATACCAAAAGTAAAACCAGAAACCATCAAAACTGACAGTGCGAATAATAAAAACTCAGTATTATAAGAGTTAAAAATAGAGAGATAACCCCTATATATATATATATATATTTCTTTTCTTAAATTGATATGATTTGATCCCTGATAACCATTGTGTATAAGCAGCCCAAAGTAGCTACGCGAAGATAGATCTGAAGCAGAAGTTTAATCCTCTTAATTATGATTCCGTTATCACAGCTTTATTTCCCTTAAGACAGTAGACCTCTTTTAAAATTTTCTATCACTACTCTCCCTGTCATGAAGATTCATGTTC